GCTAATTAACGCCGGGAAGCACTGCTCGGCCGCAGAAGCGAGCCAGCCGGGCGGCAACACCAGCTCTGCCTCCTGGCTCTGGGCTGGAGAAAAGAATTTCCTTGGAAAGCCCCAGAAATTTATTTTATGGGTGTGTTGGACACGGGCAGCACCTCGGAGGAAAGGGCCAGGCCCCCTGGCACCAGGTGAGTGCTCGCCTGGAGCTGCTGCGACGAGCGGCGCGGGATACTTACGGATTGTTCTGTCTCCACCTCTGCCTCCCATCCGACCCATGGGGCCGCCGGGCCCCCCTGGGCCCCCAGGCCCCCCGGGACCTGCAAGGAAGGCTCCGTTAATCCCAGCAGGCACCGGCCACAGCGCCTCCGGCCCTGCCCTTCGCGGGGAGGGGGACGGTTACCTCCGCGGAGGGGGGGAGGCATTCCCCGCTGCTCTCGCGGGGGCATCCCGCCTCGCATGCTGTTCATCGGGCCCTTCTTCCGCGCGAGGGTGACCTTCAGCTTGCTCCCCTGGAAATCCTTCCCTAGGAGGAAAGAGGAGGACAGGAGTGTCACTCGGTGCCGGGAGCGCCCACTGCTCACCGGACCCCAGCATCACACACGACTTTCCGCGGGAGGCACCGCTGCCCCCAGCCCTTGATCACAGAGAAAATTTTACCCAGGTGTTGAACGCAGCAGAAGGGCAAAATCCCAGCCACGGGAGGCAGTGAGCAACAGAAGCCCGGGCAACTGAGGGCGACCACAACCCAAGCACCGCGCTTGCCCATTCCAGTTAAACCCAGAAAGTTCTTAGGCCAAAGCCTGAGCACCCAGAGCTAGCCTAAGCGACTACGATCCTCCAAGAAGTTCTTAGGCCTGAGCACCTAGAACCAAGCCCGAGGCGACTACGATCCTTCATGCATCGAGGACAGAAATGCCAACTTCAGTCAGACAAGAATTTCCTTCCACAATGGTGAACAACGCAACCCCAACCCCCCCACCCCCCGCTGCGTACTCACCGTCAAACCACTCGACGGCCGTTTTGGCGGTAGACGGGTCGTCATAAGATACCGTGGCATCTCCTTTTGGTTTGCCGGTTTCTTTGTCAATGTAAAGGTTTATCATCGGCTGCCCGGTCCTCTTGTTCATCTAGGGGGACAGCAAATGTCACCTTGAGTCACGGCCCCCCGGAAGCGGGGACAAGCAGTGTCTGGGCAGGGAGGAGCAGGCAGTCCCTTGCCGACCCGTGGGAGCGTGTTCCTTCTCACCTTGACCACACCGCACTGCTTGAAGAAGTCTGCCAGGTCCTCCAGGGTCACATTGTCACCGAGTCCCTGCACGTAGACTGAACTGTTGTCCGAGTCCTCCTCGGGGTCCATAGGTGGGCCTAGGAGAGAATTCCCAGCATCACTGCGGTGAAAGGAGGGGCAGAGATAGAACAGAATGGAGCGCTTTTTGTCACGTCATCCCCTTGGCCAGCCGTGGCTTTGCTCTCAAGGAGGGGATTTACAAAAATGACCCAAAACCCCAGGCGCTGAGTGCGGCGAGGCTCCACCACGGCGCTGCACCTCGCTGCCGAGGTGGACCTGCCTCCCACCAGAGACCCGGCCAGCCTGCGGGGAACCGGGTGGTTAAACCGGTCGGTTGTAACGGGAGCCACCCAAGACGGGATGGGAGGAAGACCTTCGAGCCCTTTTGGGCTCCCGCACACCAACATCCCCCCCACCCTAGCTTTCCACAGCAACTTTCCAGCAGATCCTGGAAGGCTGACGCACAACTTCCAGCCACGCCTGCACACCGGGAAGGAAAGAGCTGCATGGTGACTGGCCAGGGGTGGCACAAGAGGCGGCTACTGGACCAGCGCCTATGAGCTCTGGGCTAAGGCTGCCCGAAACGAGCTTTCTGCTGAGGCCAAAGCCCCCCCAGCCCCAGCAGAGAGGGGTATCATCTCACAAACACGCGTGGGTTTCCACCAATCCAGCTGTTCTGATGAATCGGGAATCGAGAAATAAATGGCCGGGAAGAGACCGCAAATGGCAGAGCAGCCTCACGCTCCCGGGGAAGGACGCGCCATGGGGCTGCAGCCCTCGTCCAGAGCGGAGAACAAGCACGCAAAGTCTCAATTTCATGAATTTGGGAGTGAGTCCGAGCAGTTCTTGGCATTTACCTAAATCAAGGTCCGGTCCTTCTTCCATGTGTCCTGCCAGTCGGGAGAGAACGGTAAGAAGCTGTGTTAGTGCAGGCCTTGCGGGCTGCAGAACCGACACACACAACACTAGCTACTACCAACCACCGTGCGATGGCGCTGGGCAGGCTCAGGCTGACCCGCATTGCACAGAACAGCAGCAATGCACCTTTACGTGGCGGTGGGGTTGCTAGTTCTTAGCAGCCTTTCAAAACCATTAACCACTATTACGCTTTTTTATTTATTTTTTTTTTAACGCTTTACCGGGCCAATCGGTTTTACGTTCGTTACTAAAAAGTTACTTTACAAAACAAAAAAATATTATTAAATCCAAACCATTTATTTTCCCCAAATTACAGAAGTGGTTGCCTCAATTCTTTCATTCACCCTGTGTCCTGTAACCGCATACCCCTGGCATTGCCGGCAGTACCCATTACAGTCTCGGTGCATATGTCATTTTAACCACTTAAAAGTAATAAAAATTACACTTTGTTCTAAAAACTGACTGCAATTTTTTTTTTTTTTTAACACTATCCATTGTAATGCTCAAAAACTTACCACCAGGCTTATTGAAGCCACCTCGCTCTCCAGCGCTGCTGGGGGGATAAACGAAGAAATGAAGGCCTTTCCCTTTACAAAGCCAGTGCCGCTCTGAGCCTCTGCGGCTCACTGGGAAGAAGGGCACTGGCTAAAACATCTCCAGACAATGCATCTGTCTCTCTCTCTCTCATCTCGGCACTATGCCTTTCTTCAGGGCAGCTCGCTCAAATTTCTTTTACATATACGCAACCTCGCTTCTCTGGTTTTAGACACCACTTTTGCTGTTGGTGCCCTTGCGTTACTCGTATGGGTATTATCAGTGCAATACTTGGCCAAAAAAATATGGTTTTGAGCATTAAAAATTGGTTTTTTTTGTTTTGGTTTGGTTTTTTGCTTCAGAGAAATCATGAGGTCGTTCGCTGGTCAACTCCCTCCCCTCTGTGTGTACATAAAGGTGCACCCTCAGCCTCTCGCAGCAGGAGAGCGAAACCAGCCCGCGGGTCCCTGACATTAACAGTTAAAAAGGAAGGAGACAGCCACACGCGATACCTAAACACAGTTCAGATGACATTTCTGCTAAACCCTTCAGTATAAAGCCATACATTCAGGTCGCTATTGAACTTAACAAGTCTCTGCGGAGGGAGAACTTACAGAGTACAGCGGGGGCTCGAAGGCCTGGGGTGCAGCTTTGTGGACACAGACCAGAACAGAAGATTTTGGCAGGTGCGCCAATGCAAACTCGGGGCCGCAGCTTTTGTCAAAAAGCTTTGGCCAAAGTGCTTCAGCTAAGACCGCTTTAGAGCGCTGGTTAATTAGGAAAATGCCACCTGAAAAGGGATTTTGGCATTTCTTGCTCTTTTTGGAGAGACAAAAAGCTGTTTGGAAGGAGACGAGCAGAGGAGGGAGAGCACCGCCTTATTTTCTAGCAAGTATTGCACCTCTAATACTGGAAAAAAAAGAGCCGTCAATACAGAGTTCCGAGCTGTTGCATGCAGCTTCGCCTCCTCTCGTTAAAGTACACACCATTTACGTAATGTCGCTCTTTTAAACACATACGGTTACACTTTTTAACGTTACACAATTCTATAGTATACCTCCCCTGGCTTTATTACCAAACAACAAGTACGCAGTTACCAAAGTTACAGAAGGATTCCGTTTATACAATGAGTACATTTGGTTAAAAATATCCTATGTATATTTTTCCTCTCCATATGGACACCGTGTCTAGTCCCACTTTTCATTATGCTGCCGGCTGAGTACTGAGTACGGGTACTTTTTAAGTACTGAGGTGTATACAAGGCTCTCACTTTGTAACCTGTAGCATATAAATGCGACAAAGCATGTTAAAAAGTTTCCATGTTTAACAGCCAATGAAAATATCAAATAATTGAGTCAATGAAAAAGGGCACGTTAATAACATCGAGCTCCTTACCTGCCGGAGACACTGAAATCCATCACCACAGCGTGCTAAGAAGGGCCGAGTTCCCCTACCTGCCCCTTGGCGTTCAAAGGAAGGCCGCCTTTTCCATGGACAGCGGGAAGCCTGCGTCCATAAAGCAGGGTGCCCTTTGCCATGCTCTAGTCAGGCGGAAATCACTACGCACGCAATTTAAGCTCGGATTAAGGGTGCGAAATTGGAGACAGGTGACAAATCTTTTGCATGAGCAGCTCCGAAGGGGCTAGAAATTTTAAGATGTGATGATAGACATTTCAAGTGTCTACATCTACTTTAAACCGTTAAAAAGAGATAAATACATCATGGGTGAAATCTTTATGCAGAACCACGGAACTCTGTTCCACTTGAGCCAATTCAAGCCAGATGTGTTCCAACACAAGCCGGTCTTTTTCTTCTAGTTCCATACACCAGCAATTGTATTTCTCCGATAAAGATTTCATGCCACTTCAATTCATTTCGACAGAGCTATGCAGAATGAGACTATCAATTGCCAAACTCCACTTGCCACCAGGTTGTAAAAGACCTGCAGACATTGCCTATGGAGGAGAAGCCGCGATTCCGGCTGCCCTGCCGAAGTATGAGGGCTAGCGCTGTGCATCCCATGTCTCCAGTGCGCACCTAGGGACACTCTGCATAGCTCTGAGCGACGGGTGCGAAGGGATGGAACACACACAAAGCTACATCTTCCTTCCCTGAGGAGCCTTTGGGATTAGTCCTCCTTCCTCGCCCGCTATCAAAAACAAACATCACATCAGGGAGACGCTGCTGGCCTGAAGGCGTAGGCTTACCAAACCAGATTTTGCCATCGGTTACCATGGCCAAACTGATTTAGACCACCTGAAAGCTCCGAGGGGGAGCAGTCCTGGGAGCCGAGCCAGCTCTCTCTACTTTCTCGGGCTCTTCCTTCACACTCCGACCAAGCTCTTAAGCGTTCTGGCCGCTCAGAGTCACGGCTTCAACAGCAGCAATCTGCCCCAGGCGTACGCTCACAGACGTAGCTCCGCGTGCTACTGCTAAGGTGAAGAGCCTGATGGCAGAACACGGGGCTGACAGAAGGCTTCTGCTGGGTACATACCTGAGCTGTCAAGATCCCCACTATGGAGGCACAGGGAGTGACTCCCGGACCTGGTGGAAGGTTTGTGTGTGTTCGATCCGGAGTTACTGTTAAACCCCACAGAGGATTTCACCTCTGCGCGACCACGAAGGGAGCTGAAAGTTCCAGGTTTAGCAATACCCCTAATTCCCCTCCCGGGGCCCAACCAGCTGCAGGACAAAATAAAAATAAAACCACCATAGATCCTGCTCCTATTTCCCCCTAGGATAATATTTCCATGGATTAGAAGCAATGCTGCTACAGAAATGTTCTCCATGGAAGTACCGTTGGGAACATCAACCTTTCAGTCCCTTCTTTCCATTTCAAATCCTATGGGTAAAACAGAATTAGATAAAAGGAGAAAAGATTTGCTCTTACCCCATTCCACCGCGTCCTCCTCCCCGCCCACCTCTGCTCATGCCTCCGCGATCATATCCCCCTCTTCCCCTGCCCCGGTTATCAGGGCCGCTCATATTCCGGTTCTCTCCTGGGCCTGAAAAGCCTCCAGATTCCTGTCCGTATACGTTCATGCTGCTAGGATGGTCCTGACGGAATGAGCCTGAGGAAGTTTGTAACAAACATGTTAGGGAGCTGCAGGCACGAGTGGGTTGAAGCTGCCTGTCTCCTTTTAAGCCCTTTTACCTGCCTTCAGCACCCATCCCCTCGCTACAGCGCTTGCAGCAACTGTGGTAATTTAAGGGGAGATGCTTTCCGTTTGCAGAATCAAGTTTTGGTTTAGGCCCTACCCATCGGACTCCTGCAGACCTGCCACCTGGCCAAACAGAATCGTTTAGGCCAAGCCTTGCCCACTCCAGCCACAACAGTATTTTCCGCTTCTGCATTTCTCAACTATCTGGCAGCATCATGATTCGCCATCATACCAGGCCAGCCCTTTTTCAGTGAGAAAGGGCAAACCCCCATGCTCTCCCTTCAACGGAGCTGCAAGCTTTAGACCCAAAATAACGCCAAGCCGCCTCCAGAGACAGCCCACCCTGCAAGGGCAAGGGAGCCTGACCCTTTCCTCCGCAACCACACGGCTCTGCTAAGCACACTCACTCTGTTGGCCGTAGCTGCTGCTCTGCTGGCTGTACTGGCTTGGGGCCTGGCTGTAGGATCCCGTCTGGGGCGGGTAACTGGTTGGCGGCGGCGGCTGCTGCCCGTAGCTGCTTTGCTGGCCATAGCTAGTCTGTTGTCCGTAGGTGCTCTGTTGCCCATAGGTGCTCTGCTGGGAGTAAGTGCTCTGATCGTAACTGCTTGGCTGCGTGGAGGAATAGCTGGAAGAGAAAAGCATTGAAAAGATGGAAAGATGAGCGGATTCGCTGGCAATGTACATTAGGCTGCAGAAGCAGCTCACACTAGAAGGTAATGCAATTATAAGCCATATGTACTCTTGTAAATCGTTTAAAAAGGTGAAGTCATCCTATGGAGGCTAGCCCGGGGGCAGGAGGCAAAACAAACCCAGTAGACTGCTAAAAGCAAAATCCAGGTGACCCTTCGTACTTCTAGAAAGAGGCAGAAGCGCCAGGGCAAAAATCAGTGGCAATGCAAGCAGCAGTCTCCCTTTCTGCCTCGGCACTGAAACGTTTTCAGCCGATGGATAATAAATCAGTCACCCCTCAGGCATCTCAGGTTTTGAGGATTTCAAAACACACACTTCAGAAGTCAGCGTCAGCATATTAAAGACACCTAAGGGGATGGCTGCCCAGGGAAGGGGTCGAGTCCCCATCACTAGGGGTATTTAAAAGCCGGGCAGATGAGGTGCTTAGGGCCAGGGTTTAGTGGTGGGATGGCAGGGTTAGGGGAAGGGTTGGGCTTGGTGATCCTAAAGGTCTTTTCCAACCTAGATGATTCTGTGCTTCTATGAAGAGGTGAGCCCCTTCTCAAAGCCACATGTAAGGAGGCAGCAAAAGCTCACTACACCACACTCCCTAACTAGGAAATTGCTCAAAAACATTTGTCATCGTTACACCTTGCTACTGCAGGTGTGCACGCAGACACACTTCTGCACTCAATCACAGCCGCATCTTCCCTACAACAAGTACACCAGTAAGAACCACACCTCCCTCCTCCCAGGCCACCAAACCTCCCTTTACATCTGTTTATTTAAAACCGCTTTTGCCCCAGCTAACCCGAAAGCTCCCAGGCCAGCTGTGTGCGGCTTAGCCCGCTGGGAGAGTTACCTGGTAGGAGGATAGGAGGGAGGCGCGGTGACCGGCTGCATAGGGTAGCTGGCAGGCACCTGAGGATAGCTGTAGTTGCTCTGTCCGTACCCTAGACTGGGCTGGCTGTAGCCTGTCGTACTCGATGGTGGCTGGCTGGTCTCTGCTGGTTTGCTGCCATCCTGGGGTCTACAGAGCAGTATCGAACAAGAAGGAAACATTGGTGCAAAATCCCACCTCTGGTAGCAGCGAAGGTGCTCAGATCCCCCCCTCCTGAAACAGAACGGCTCTGCCTAGGGGGTTCAGCCTGGAGAAGAGGAGGCTGAGGGGAGCCCTTAGCGCTCCCTACAACTGCCTGACAGGAAGGGGGAGCCAGGGGTGGGGTTGGGCTCTGCTCCCAGGGAACGGGCGATGGGATGAGGGGAAACGGCCTCAAGTTGTGCCAGGGCAGGGTTAGGTTGGACATTGGGAAAAATTCCTTCCCCGCAAGGGCTGTCAGGCACTGGACGGGGCTGCCCAGGGAAGGGGTCAAGTCCCCATCCCTGAGGGTATTTAAAAGCCAGGCAGATGATGTGCTTAGGGACAGGGTTTAGTGGTAGGATGGCAGGGTTAGGGGGACAGTTGAGTTTGATGATCTTAATGGGCTTTTCCAATTTAAACGATTCCATGATTCTACCGAATTCTTTGGTTACAAGCTGGCACCGCATCGGTGTCCGTCACCCTGGCAGCAGTTCACATATACTCATTAAACACTAAACATTGTAGCACCTGCTGACTGGGTATTTGCACACTCCCCTGCCATCCAGAAAGGCACAGGCAGTGTCCTGAACAGAGAGCACAGAGCACTGCAGCTTCTGTTCACCAGCCGCGTTGTGAAACTGAAGGTGAGGGATTTAGACTTTGGCTCTGGAATTGAGTGGAGGATGTGAAGTGGCCAGGAAAGCGGACAGCAGCACCGCCCCTCCGTTCGAGCTGGTTTTGCACAACGCTTGGAAATTACTAGCTCCAAAGCAGCCAAAAATGTTGTCAGTTAAATGTACCATTGTTTGCTTTAGAATCTAGAGCAAGCAGATATTGCCCCATATATGTTATCCGATGAAAGGGAAAGGATGTTGGGGGTTGGACTAGATGACCTTTAAAGGTCCCTTCCAACCCAAACTCAACTCTGTCTAGTATTAACTCTCAAGGCCTGAAAATAAAGAGAACCCTCTGCGTGTGACTCGCATGTCCCTTCTTTTCACATTTGTCCCATACTGTTGATAATCTCCAAGTGTTTATCAGAACAGAGTAAGAAGAGTTAAGCTCCTTTTGTTGTACAAGCTGGGAAAAAAGTATTTTAAATTATGTCAGGATTCATACTTACAATTGTAATCTGACAGATACGGACAGAGCTGGGCCAAGCTCCGCCTTTCCTTACTGGAGTGGTTGCTACAAACATGAGGTAAATGAATAAAGCCAGTTTTATTCACTACTAAACAAGTTTCCGTTATGTATTTTAAATCTTTCATATCCTGAACAAACAATTCAACTAAATATACTGCTGACAGCGCCCAGACACAAGCGATTTGAAAAGGAAATTGTCTGCAGCATGTGCATCCACTCCAGAAGTCACAGTAGGTAACAGTATCCTGCCTGACCCTGTGACTCAGGATCAGATCAGACTGGCCTGTTTTCTGTTCCACATCCTGAGTCAAGAGCCCATTTTTGTTGCTTGGTGGCTTTCCTCATCTCCCAGTAATGGCGCTGACTCACCGTGCAGAACCTACCTACGCAGCTTCCCCCAGCCCTGCAACGTGACAGGGTTGGATGCAGCAAGAGCCAAGCTCAAGCGCAACAGGCAGAGAAAAGGTGTAAGCAAAACCAGTGGGCCCCAGTCCAGCTGGTGGTGTGGAACCAGATGTTACCTTGTGGGAGCAGATGCTGCTGGCTGCTGCCCGTAGGCTGGGTAGGCGGGCTGGGTGCCGTAAGCGGACGGTGCTGCGTAGGAAGCCTGGGTGGTGGTAACCGTAGCGGTGTTAGTATCGTAGGCGGCTGTGCCGTACCCCTGGATGGGCTGACTGTACGCTGGGGGGGCAGTTGGGGTGGTGTAACCTAGAACAGACGACAGCCTCATCAGATTAGTTTGGCGACCTTCACCCGTAATGTTTCAGACTCCTGTGGACAGTTCATCAGACTTCGGGAACAGCACCGATTTTACTGCTGCAAAAATATCACAGATAACCCCAAACCAATGCACTAAGCCACACTGCCCCTTCGCCTTCCTCGGAGAAACCCCCTGCCCTGAGAAGCCTCAGCCTACAGCCTCAGCTCTACCATCACCCTGCAAAACCCACGCTCCGAGGAGCTTTTTGGAAGCCACCCTTCGATCAGCATCCAAAGGCTGTTTGTTTACAGCTACCAAAGCTTGCAGCTAACATAACAGAGCGCACACAGGGCAAGCTGAGGCATGCAGCGTCTTCTGAAAAGAGGAGGACTAAACAGAGCTCCCGTTAGGCCTAGAGTAAAAGAAATGCAATCGATTTAGGAAGGATGGTCAGCTTTTTTTGCAAAATGAAAGCACAAAATGGCAGCAGGCTGACTTGACAAGTCTTATTCCAAACCAGTAATTCTGGAAACAAAAGCAAAGTGCTTCACATTTGCCTTAAGAGAACAGTCAAAAAGACACGTAAGGTAGCTCCTGATGTTTTAGGTACCTTCACCTTTCTTAGAATTTCAGCGTGTTTTAGGTAAAAAGCTCAGAGATCATACATTTATTTCTGAGCAATTTTACATGAATATCCAAGATCCCAAATGAGCTCCATTTAAATTAATCCTTCCAGCAGCCGCTTCTGTATGATCTAGCCAACCGTTTGGCTTGTCACAAAGGTGAACTATAGATCTGGCACTAACGCGGTGGCTTTTTAGAGGTAAGAACCTCGCAAGCGGGTTTTCAAATTACAAAACGGGGACTTACGTGAAAAAAGATGAATTGAAAATTTTGTCAGCAAAAGCTGCCTTACTAAAAATCTAGAACATTGATTGCCACAGAGCAGCCAACTGGTCTCAGCCTTACTGATGTGATCTTCATTGCATCCATTAACAGCTTCTCCATCGCTTCTTATTTTTAATTAACATAGGACACTTGTGACACAGTCTTCCTTCTAATTACACAACATTTTAGCAAACTGTGCTGTATCTTTTTATTTCAATTCCCTAATTTGCAAAACAAATGTACTTCCAGCAGAATACAGCGTGCCCTCTCGAAGCACTGCGGTACTTCCACATCTCGCTGACCCTGCTACAAAATCAGGACCCTTCCCGACGGCGCTCTGAATCACCGAGCGAAGAGGAAGAGAAGCAAGAAGAGGAAGTTTCCACAGCACATTAGTTAAAAAAAAACCAAACAAACTTCAGTTTTCTGTCCCAAGTGACACTCTCGAGTTTTCTGGTTAGCCTCAGGATCCTGATGAAGGGGACACAAGTCTGTCCAATCTCGTCACCTGCAACAGCTAGCCTAAAAGCCCCCACTCACTCCCACAAGCCTCATTCCTCCTGCCCCGGGACC